AACTGAGAACCATATGAATAAATATGCATGCTTCATTCCAAAATAAAAAAAAAAAAAACTAGCAAATTGATTCTACCTTATAATAAAAAGTCAATGGTGTATTATAAAGTATGTTTTATTCCTGTAATGTAATATTCATTCAATATTATGGAATAGCTTTGATATAGCCTAACACATCAATAGAGAAATAGAAAAATCTTAGTTGAATATCTTTATATATAATGATAAATGTAGTACTGATTATATGAGAAATAATATATGGTTTATATACTTTAATTCTCACTAAAAACTTATGCTAGATATCATCATTTAGTTATCATCAGTTACCTGATGAGGAAGTTGAGGGAATGAGGGATTTAGAAATGAAGCCAAAGTCATCCAACTGTAATACAAAGAATGCAGTTTTTGCTTAAAATGTGGACACACATATTTATATACTTATATGCATACATGTGATCTTATGTGTAAAGAATTAAAGAAAATTTCTCTAAAAAATTGAAGGATAAACTACATCATGTCACTACACATATGTAAGTAAATTTTTTTTTAAAGCTAAGGCAACATATGCCAAAATGTTAAGAAGGCTACTTTCTGAGTGATTCAATGATAATGTTATACTGTCTTTTCTGTTCATTAGTATTTATGTCCAATATTCATATAAATAAGTTTATATACATTATATGGAAAATTTATATGTATATTGTAAAGTGTTACATATTAACATATTACTAATAATTTATATGATTCTGTTATCAAAATGAAATAGTCTTAAAGCCAAGGAGTAGTAAATGATACCAGATAAGTCCTACTGCCCTAAACAAGTATAAAAAATGGGCAAAATAGATTAGAAACCATTTGTAGAGAATAGAACAAAAAAACAGGATAAGACTGCAATGCATGAGAAAAGAGAAACTAATGGAGTGATCTCCATGACAGTCAAGTTATCTGCCTGAGGACAATTTCCTGACCTTGCCACAGATCCCCAAAATTCAAGCAGAATGTGAAGATCCCACTCAGTCAGGGAACAAAGATTAGCGTACCATACAGTTGAAGTCATTGGAATCTGTGGGTCAAGATAACAGAAAGAAAAGAGATATGCAGGGTTGAATCCAGAAATCTGCATGGGGTTTCCTCATGAGTCTCTGCTGAAGGGTAGACTGTACACGAAGAAGACTAGAAAAACCAAGACTTATAATATAGCAACCTTTGTGGGATTGACGACACAATGAAGATGGTAAGGGCAAGGAGACCTGGGAGGAGAGCAGCATGGAATATTGAAGTTTCAACTATGAAACTTGATGAGAGTGTTGGGATCTCATAGAACTCCTAGCAACACAATGAAAACTAGAGAGGCTTTCCCTTAGGAGCTAGAATCATACCTGGGAGAAAGGTCGTCTCTAGACATTCTGTAAAAAAGCCCAAATGCAAGCGCCAATAAGATCCATAGGTAAGACAGATTTAGAGATTGAGTCCCATAAAGTTAGATTATTCTGGGAAACAATTTTGGCTTTTCATAGATCTGCGTTAGTAGTGTAAAACCAAGCCTATACAAGTTCAGCATGGCCAATTTATAATTTAACAATATGCTATAACAAGAGCCAATAGCACTGTGAGAAAGATGACAGCTGAAGAGTCTCTATAATGTTCTATCTACAATGCCCATTACTCATTGAAAGTCACTAGATATACAAAGAGATAGAAAATATGATTCATAGCCATAAAATGTTAACATCATTCCATAGAAACCAAACTTAAGAAAGTTAGACTTTGGATTTAGCAGATAGAGGCTTTAAATAAGGTATTATAAATCTGTTCAATGAAATAAGAGAATGTGCTAAAAGAATCAAAGGAAATATAATGAGTGAATACAGAAGTTCAGCAGAGGAAAAGAAACTATACAAAAAGTCTAAATAAGAATTATACTACAAAGTACAATAAATAAAAAAAATTCACTGGATAGATTTAACAGAAGACTGGAGGTGACAGAAAAAAAAAAGTCAATGATCTTGAAGACAAAATTTTCCAATCTGAGAAAACAGGGGGAAACATTGAAGAAAAATAAACAGAGCCATAGCAACCTATCAAAGAATAATAAGTAGAATTATATATATATATATATATATATATATATGCTTTCATATTTTTTCATAAAAATATATATTTATGTACTTATATATAAATCGATTTTGCAAAAGAGAGGAAAGAGACCCATGGCAGAAAATATTGTTAGAAATAATAGGGTCAGGCACGGTAACACACGTCTGTAATCCCAAGGCAGGAAGATTGCTTGAAGACAGTTGGAGATCTACCTGGGTAAGATGGGAAGACCCCATCCATACAAAAAAAATTAAATTAGCTAGGCATGGTGGGTGCCCCTGTAGTACTAGCTACTTTGGAAGTTGAAGTGGGAAGTTTCCTTGAGCCCAGGAGGTTGAGGCTGCAGTGAATTGCGATGGTACAACTGCACACCAGTCTGGGTGACAGAGCAAGACCCCATCTCTTAAAAAAAAAGAACATAACATAAATTTAAAAAACATTTAATGGAAAAGACTTAGAAGAAATTAGCATAACCCTGAGGAAGATGAATATAAAGAAAACCATATTTACGTCCATCACAATCAACTACTGCCAATCAAAGACAAAGGGAAATTCTCCAAAGTGGCCTGAGACAGAAAGAAGAGCATACTATGAAAAGGGACAAACATGAATGATGGTTTACTCCACATCAGAAAGAACATGCAGAAGATAATGAAACACCTTTAATGTGCTCAGAAACAAAACCCTGCCTGAATTCTAAACCTTATGAGAAACATGAGAGAAATGACAATATTTTTACTTATGTGAATCAGAAAAATTTTGTCCCGAGAACGAGAAGCTCACCATTGCCAAAAATGCTGAGAGATGCCCTTTGGGCCACAGGTGCCAGATTGTAACTCAGATCTACAAGTAGAAATGTAAACCACCAGAAATGGGAATAAGTGGAAATTGAAATGCCATATTTCCTTTCTTCTTGTAATTTATAGAAAATATATTAATATCTGGATCTTTAAAAATATTACTGTAAGGTAAGGTTTTAATGTAAACAAAAGTAAAAGACATATTTTACTAAATAAATGGGACAGATAAATGAATTACAATGTTGTATAAGGTTGTTTGTTACATTTGTGGAGATATAGAATGTCAAATGAACAGGATACGGTAATAGTGGAACATGTGAAGGGAGTTTGAATTACAATTTGTAAGTATGAAGAAGTAAAATATTGACTCTAATTAGACTCTGAAAAGTTATATCTTATTAATGGTAGAACCATCCGTAATGCATAGTAAAAGGAGATATAGTTAGGAAGTCAGTAAATAAATTGAAATCTTAAATTTTTTTTATTTGTTTATAAATCCTGAAAAAAATCCTTTCCTGAAAAACAGGAATAGAAGAAGACAGGGAGAAGGAAAAGCAGAAGAAAGAAATGCAAACCAACAAGATGGTATATTTAAGTATAAACACATCAATAACTACATTAAACATAAGTAAACTAAGCACGGAATTTAAAATGACGAATACAAGCGATAACATAAATTTCATCAACATTATGCTGAGGGAAACTCACCAAACACACAAAAATTATACACTGCCTAATTCCATTTATATGACACTCTATAAAAGAAATCATTGATTAGTGATAGAAGTCTGATCACTAGTTAGCTACCAACGTGAGAGTGGCTGGGAAGATAAACTACAGAGGAAAGTGAGAGAATTGATTGAGGAAATGGAGATGTTCTGTATCTTGAACATTGATACAATCAAGACACATTAGTTGTATCTTGATCAAGTATTTATATTGTAGTACATATTAGTCTAAAATTATTGGCCTGTACATGCAGAAATGAATTTTATTGCATGTAAATTATACCTTAATAAAACTGATTTTTAAAAAATTATCTATTAAAATACTGATTGCCTAGTGATTAAGATGTAAGACTCTGAAACTCTGACTTCGAATCCTGCATGTGCTATTTTCTTACTGTATGACATAGAGCAAATTATTTAACCCCTCTAAGTTTTCTTATCTATAATGTGGGAATAATAAGTACTTCATAGGATTGTTAGGATTAATTCTTCATCTAGAATAAGTGTTGAAAATATATTTTATTGTATTAATATCATTGTCATTAGTATCATTACTGTGTACAGCACATTAAACTATTGAAAGGGAGGTATCAAATGATGAGATAAAAGCTATCTTCATTTCATTTTCTAATACCTCTTTTGGAAGAAAAATGAGACAGGTAAAAATCAAACTGAAAAAATGAGATGCTAAATCATAATAAAAGACAACAGAATTAGAGTCAAATTCTGACAAAGTTAGTCACGATTACATGCTATATTGATTTCCTATTGCTACTGTAACAAATAAGAAATGATCACCAACTTTGTGACCTAAAACAATACAAAAGCATTGTCTTATCATTCTGGAGAACAGAAATCTAAAAAAGTATTCTGGGTCTAAAATCAAGATGTCAGCAGGACAGGCTTCATCTGAAGCTCTAGGCGAGAAGCCCTTTTCTTTGCCTTTACTAGCTTCAAGAGGCTGCCAGTAATCCTTGTGACTAACTCCTTCCTCCATCTTCAAAACCAGCCATGTAACATCTCTTTCTCTCTCATTGCCTTCTTTCCTGTATCAAATATCCCTCTGCCTCTGTTTTATAAGGATGCATATAACTGCATTTAGGACTCACCCTGGTAATCTAGAATAATATTCCCATTGCAAAATCCTTAAATCCCTTTTCCAATATCAAGCAACATTCACATGTTTTAGGGTTTTAGGACATGGTTATTTTTGGGTCAAATGTCATAAGAGCAAGGCAGGAAATGAGACGAGAGGACAAGACACTGGAGTGTTCTGTAAAATTTCAGTTTAAGAAGTTTACAAGTGTTTGGTAAAGGAAAAATAAATTTGAGGTGAAAATGAATATGCAAAATAAAATGTCATTGTCATTTTTAGGTGTCTTAAATGTTTATCTACGTTTGAAAGGGCAAACAACAATAGAGAATCCACTGTGGTCTTCAAGTGGGAATAAAGGACAAAGATGGAATGAGGCTCATGTTAATATATATCCAATTACTTCATTTCAGGTAAGAAAAGTAATTTTGGCTAATTAATTGCTGTATACGAGCATAACATTAAAGGTGGATCTTGAGCAAATAGCAAAATACGAATATTCAGAAATTCCATGATATAAGCATCACAAAAATTACATGATTAAGTTTTGCTTTAGTTCTGAAAGCTGTTTTGTAAAGAGAAATGCCCTTTTCCTTTATTCATTAATACTCATCAAGTAATAGATTTAAATAATAGTCTATTCAAATTTAAATGATTCACCTGGAAAAAAATATAATCCATTTCTATCAAATAACATGCTTATATTTTATTTCCTGAAAAAAAATTACGTATATATGTTTCTACCATAATGGAACTTGGTAATCAGTTCTCAATCTGTTTGAATTTTTCTTGATGAAATTTTATATAGTTTAGCAAAATATGCCTCTTTGATTTAATACCATATCAGTAACTGATCACTGATTATTAAAATTAAGATCACTTTAAATAAGTTATTTTTCTTTGTTTTTATATAGAAAAGTAAAGCTTAGAGGGTTAGCTAAGACAGCTACAAGTAAAGATACAGAACCTTGAAGACTTCAACACTGGCCATCATAGCTAGAGACAACAGATCATGAAACTATTTCAATGGAGTTAATACACTTTTCCATTATTTTAATGTGTGCAAACATATATACATATATAAATATATTTACATATCCAAATATTTTTGTATTTTAAAAATAAAGTATCTTTAAAGTCTATGACATATATCTTCTATAGCGCTCTGCCTTATTTCAAAGAATTCAGATCTATTTCATGAAATTGTATTTACAGCATTGAATGTTTCTTCTACTAGTGATTTTTTTTGGATGCATTTCATGGCGTATGTTGTAAGGTTATAAAAAATCATGCCAAGTTTTAATTGGTGGAATGACCTTTTCTTGTAATCTAATCTAAATCAAACCAGGATGATAAAAATACATAGTCATTCACAGTGATAAAGAATAAAAGAGTAAGACCAGGCAATTATATGCAAGTATATAAAAGTTATTCCCATATGATTCTGAAAAATAAAAGAATCATTTTGTTTCTATGAAGTACAATTGTGAAAATGAATGGCAACATATCATCAAACTAAAGTAAACTGGGAACACAGAATTCCAAAGCATTACTGATAGAAGTAACCTTAGTATTAAAATGCATATACTGATATTGGCATTTAAAAGTCATTTTTTTCCCTGAAAGTTGATATTATTCTAGATATACTGTCACTTTCCACATAACTGCCTCTACAACACAAAAATTCCACCAAGGTTCACAATAAACAAAAACATCAACTCACATACTACAGAATTTTCTAGGAAAACAGATGTTAATCTGAAATTTGGCACACAAAAATAAGTCAAAGATTGGTTCCCTAAGGGCCCTAAGGACCTTTGCCAATGGGACAGCATCAAAAGATTTTACTGGGGAGGAAATGGTACATCACTCAGGTTGCTATATAGAAGACAAGTTCAAGAGGGAAAATGGGGTCTGCAAATGTGTTAGGACATCTTTGTAAAATTCACATGAAAGATGAAGGAACAAATCAGGGAAGTGGTGTAAAGAAAACAATGATTTCAAGATATGCTTCACTGTAAAACTTAGCAGAATGTTTTAATTTGGGGAGTAGCCACGAATGCCATGAACTAGGAAGTCCTGAATAATGCTTATACTACACATTACATTAAATAACAAAAGAAGAAAATATATGAATTTCAGGGATGAATATAGTTACTTCTATTTTAGACATGTTAATATAAAATGTCTCTGGATATCTTTTTAAAGATGTGCAAAAGGTTATTGTATATGTTCATCCAAAGTTTTGGGGACAGGTATATTTATGAGTCATCAGATTATATATGCTACCTAAAACTGTAAGGGTGGTTGTTATTAACAAGGAAAAGTATACATGTGTAAGCGTCGATTAAAGGATGGTACCATGCAGAACATTAACCAATCATTAAGGCCAGGCGTGGCAGCTTACGCCTGTATCCCAGCACTTTGGGAGGCCAAGGTGGGCAGAGCATGAGGTTAGGAGTTCAAGACCAGCCTGGCCAACATAGTGAAAAACCCCATTTCTACTAAAAACACAAAAATATACCATTGCATGCCTATAATCCCAGCTAGTCAGGAGGCTGAGGCAGGAGAATCGCTTGAACCCATGAGGCAGAGGTTGCAGGGAGCTGAGACCATGCTATTACACTCTAGCCTGGGCAACAGAGTCAGACTCCATCTAAAAATAAAAAACAAACAAAAAAAAGAACTCTGGAAGGCAAGTCCAGTCCTAGGTAATATACTTTAGAGTTAGAAGGAGAGAGATCTAGATGTTCACGGAATTTAAAGAAGACAGTGAAATTCAAATTACAAAGAAGGTTGAGTGTAAGGGAATAGTACTATAAGGGAACTGGTAAACAGAATGGTTTCAGTTGAGTCACAGAAGCAGAAACTACATTTCATATGTGGATACAGAGTGTCTACTTTTGAGAAATTTGAATAAGCCAGTAAAGCAACTGGAAAAAATTACCATCTTAACTAAAATTGTTTCACATTTCAGAATAGAATGACATATAGGCAGATATTAAATTATGTGATTTATTCAAATACTTCTTTTCTTATGTTTTTTTTTCACATTCACAAAAGTACAGATTTTCCTTATTTTCAATTATATTGGTTACACAAGGGAATCGGCTTTCTTATTCAGAATGTTGTGGCAGGGAGAATCCTGAAGAGAGTTTCCCCCTGAATATAAGGAATGAGGGGGATTTCATAGGCAAAATGAAAGAACCCAAATTTGCCAGCTCTAAATATACATTGCAATCTTATAGAAAGGAGCTTTTCTTTGTGATTTGGCCCATCTTAGCCATAGAATCCTGGCCCCAGAATTGTTGACTAGAGGAAGGAACTTCAAGAAGTGAATTAATCTTTTGTTACCAGGAAGAATGAAGTCATTGTACCTTCAGAGCAGTAAGTTTTTACAGTTCACTACAATCGACAGACTCTGGGGTTTACATATTAAATTCACAAAAGGACATGTACAGTAATGTTTGAAGGAGATGTTCAAGAGTGTTCAAATGAGTAAAAGTTTATTCATAATGGTCTAAACCTTGGTGAATCTCCCTGCTGTACTCAGCTCTTCTACCCATTGCAACTGAGAAATCAGGCTGGGTTTGTATAATTGATGCACAATGTTACCATTTCTGGTGTTCTTTGTGTCATTTTATAGGTCTCTATTTTCATTTATGAGTGTTATTTTACCTGAGGGATTTTCTTTAACATTTCTCGTAGTGTGAGTCAGTTAAATTATTTCCACCTTCTGTACTTCTTCTGAGAAATGTCTATTTCACCTTCATTTTTTGAAAGATTTCCTCTGAGAATAGCATCCTACTTTTTCCTTTTAGAACTTTACAGATATTTTACCAATGTCTTATTGTTTGCATTGTTTCCAGGAATAAATCTGTGGATAGCCTTAAATTTATCCTACTGTATGTAATGTGACTTTTTTCTCAGGTTGCTTTTAAGATTTTCCTTATCATTTGTTTTTATAAATTGTATTGTGGTGTGCTTTGGTATATTTTTCTTCCTTCTACATGTGCTTTGTGTTCATTGAATTTCTTGGATCTGTAGATTTAGAGGTTTCATAAATTTTGAGGCTTTTCTCACTAACGTTTCTTAAGGTATTTCTGCTAAGTCCTCTTCTCCTTTGAAGATTCCAGTCACACATACACAAAGTCCCTTGAAGGTGTCACACAGCTCATTAAGGCATTTTCATTTTTTTCTATTTATGTTTAATTTGTGATCATTTTTATTCTGTCTTCACATTCAGCAACAGTTTCTTGTGCAATGTCTAATCTACTTTTATTCAGTGTATTTTTCGTCTAAGTCAGTAGATTTTACATCTTTAAGTTCAATATGAATCTCTTTAGAAAATATTTTTATGGCTTTAGTTAATATTTTGAATGTATGAAATCTAGTTAGAATAACAATTTTAAATCATTACCTGCTGCTGCTAACATCTATTTAAGTTCTTGGTTGGTTTTGGTTGATTGATTTTTCTTCTCATAATGGATCATTGTTTTTTTGATTTTTTTTTTTTTTTACAAGTCTGGTAATTAGATTGGGTACCAGACATTGTGACTTCTACCTTGATAAGTACTGCATATTTTTGTATTCTTATAAATATTCTTGAGCTTTTTTAGGGAAGGTAGTTAAGTTACTTTGAAACAGTTTGATTATTTTAGGGCTTGCTTTTAAGATTTGTTAGGTTAAAGTAATATTTGATATGGGGCTAATTATTTCTCATGACTGAGGCAAGAATATTCTGAGTCCTCCACCCAATGTCCCATGTATTATGAGGGTTTTCCATATGGTGGATGGGAACAGTCGCCATTCCCAGTCCTGTGAAGGCTGGGCACTATTAACTCAAAATTATCCCTCTGGTTCTTTCCCAAGTATTGGGTAGATTCCTCATTTCATTTGCTGGTCAGTACTCTGCTAAACACTCGAGGGGGACTCCCTGCAGTCTTCTCTGTTTCTCTCTCATTTTACTATTGCCACCCTTTTCTCTGGTATTCTGCTCTGAACATCCTAGCCTTCCTTGTTATTTTGAACTCTCATCTCCTTAACTCAGATTTTCTACAAGGCTTCACCCTTTTTTCTTCTACTTGCACCATGGCCTATAAACTTGGTATTGGTCAGTAATAGAATTCACCTTATTTGATTCCCATTTCTCAGGAATCACACTTCTTCATTATCTGATATCTTGTATCCTGAACACTGTGGTTTCATATACTTGGCCCAGTTATGTGGTTGTTTCAATTAGAAGGATAGATCCATTCCTGCGACTCTATTTTTGGTGGAAACAAATTGAAAGAGTGAATAGGCTGTGCGCAGTGGCTCACGCCTGTAATCCCAGCACTTTGGGAGGCTGAGGAGGGCGGATCACCTGAGGTCAGGAGTTTGTGACCAGCCTGGCCAACATGTGGAAACCCCG